TATATGCTATGACAATGGGAACTGTAACAATATTTCTAAAATTTCTAAATGCATTTATGCTATTACAAGGAAAATAAAACAGGACTATATTTCTGAATCAGAAATATTGTCTTAAGGATGATAAATTTATAAAACAAAATCATAATGTTATTGGCACACAGCTGACAAATATCACTAGAAATTTCAAACAGATTCAATTCCACTGAGTCCGTCATAAAATGAGTTTTACAAATTTCAAAAGCACAAAAAAAGCACTATATTAACATTCAAATATAAATTTGGGGAGGAAAGTATTATTATCATAATGCCCTTAAATTCATTATAATACAACTCACTTGTGTGACAGATATCACTCATGGTTTTTTACAAACTTGATGACATAAAGTTCATATTTATATCTTATGCAAATATAAATTATTTCTTCATAACAGAGTCAAGTCAGCTTAATGATTAATCACCATGAATAATTTGTATCTTAACTATGTTGGGTTTTTGAAGATTTAAAAGCTGACCTGCAGGAAGTATTTTTCCCCAAAAGACATTAATTTAGTTACAAAGCCCCTCAACTACTATTGAAAGATTGAACAAAATAACACAAAATATTTCATGTGTTGTATAATTATAATGATTACAACTGTTCCTGGATTTTTGAAGAAAGGTATGTTATAATTTTTTTAAAAAATCACAAAATCTTCCAGTTTTCTACTGTTATCTCTGAGATTTATATTTTATTTTGGTACTATGTATATATATTAGCATTTTTTAATTAAGATTTTCCCTTTTGTGCATGGAAGAACAAAAATTCCTATTAGAGAAAAGAAATAGTTGAATGCAATCATACTTAAGCCAGAATATTAGAATACATTATTGTAAGATTAAGATCTTTTCCTGCTAGGTAGCCCACTAATACAAGTCTAGATAAAATCATCATATCTCTTTCCCTGAAGGAAATTAGGAATTTTCTTATCGAAATGCTCCTTCCTTAATCTTCAAGGCAAGACTAATTAAAAATCTTATAATAACATAGCTCAACATAAGAGTTATTTTATTTTTAGATTTTTGTTAAGGCAAACTATTTATTTACAAATCAATATCTTGACCCTTTCAGTTTCTTTTTCAAGTGCATTACTGCAGAGTTTAAATAAAATTTGTGCCTACAAAGTCTCTCTGTATGGTTCTGTATGGCTCTCATATAGAACACTAACCATCTCACAATAAAGGAATTTCACAACGAGCAACAAAGCTGTTCATTTACAAATTAGTGGCCCTTCTGGTAGACCAAATCAATTTGCAGATCCAAACATTTTTTCAAAAAAATATACATCAAGACTAAAATAAATGTCTGGATTAAAGTTATGAAGTAAATGAACATGAAATCCTACCTAGGAGGTGCTATTTAGCTAACTTAACTGTTCTGCCAACTGAACAAAGATGGTTCAGGCTAAGTCTGATGTACTAAATAGGTTTGGAAGCAACAAGCTGTTTGAATTCAAACATTTTACAGACTATTGCATTAACAAAACACAGTTGATGAATATATAAGTCTATGATAACTATAGATATATCATTTCTAAATAAAACTTTCTATTTTCTAATGTTTAAAATACTACTGAAATTAAAAATTGATTTCCAGAGCTTTTAACTGATACTGTGAAAAATCATGGTTCAACTACAGATGTATACTTTTGTCTCTCTGGCTGCGTTAATTCCTCCCTATTCTCATATAACAGTCCACAATAAATTCCCCTGAGTCCACTACAACTCCTGCTTTACATTGCTGAATTATAACAACAATCTGCTTGATATTATAGCAGATGTTCTGCATTTAAGCCTTTGGGATCTTTATTAGGTCCATTTCCTTTTCAACCTAAAAAAGGACATGCATTTATTCTCAGATTGGTGCGTATTTCACATTGGCCCCACTCCAAACATCTATACACATGACTGAGTAAAGAATTCACAACATGAAGTTCAGAGCCAAGGCAATTCTTATATTCTTTTAAAAAAAAAGTCTTAATTCAAAACTTACCTCAGTAACATCCATGACTTTAATAGCTGCCAACTGACCTGTCTTGACATGTCGACCCTAATAAAAAATAGAAAGAATAGACTTCGCATTATTAATTAGAAGATTAATAAAGACATGACATCATTTGCAGCTCATTGTTTCACAGAATATCTATTTCATTCAATATATTTATTACAAGAAAAAAATGTAAAATTAAACATAAAAATAATTCAACATTGACCTTTTAAGAGAATTGCCAAAATATATTCTTCAACTGGTATTGTAAGTGAAACATTTGTATAGTGTTCAGCCTTTAGTCAATATTTTTTGGAAACCAAGGCAGCCTGTGGTGTCTGCAGATGGAGGAAGCATTCTGTCATTCTGGTGCACCCTTTTTGCATGTATGTCATGATGTTCCACACACATACAGGGAGCAGAGCTGGACGAAAGCATCAAGATCTTGTGGACTCCCACAAAGGTGGCTGTTAAGTGTTAATAAAGACAGTCATCGGTGAACCTTTCTTCTAATCCACAATAATCAGTCCTCAGCCACATTGTTTACTATGAGCCTGAAGACAAGCATCAGAAGTGTCAATCTTTCTTAACTTCCCATTCCACAATCTTCTTCCATCTGCTAATGTTTTAGGTTCAAAAGAACACATTAAGGCCTACCACTCCCAAAAATCTCAAACTAAAGTACGAGTTTACAAAATATATTTATAGGTAGTCCTCAATTTATGACCAGTCACTTAACAAATGTTCGAAGTTACAACAGATCCCCAAAAGCTTTTAAAAATCAGTTTCAAAGTTACGACAGCCACACACACATACACCTGTAGTCATGTGACTGCATTTTAGACACTTGGCAACAGGTTCTGTTTTTAGTGTCATCATCTGACCACAATTTTTGGGGAGGTTTTGCCTAGATTTATTTCCAGTTTCTGACAAAAATATTCCATTGGAGAAAATTGATTTGCTTAATGACCACAGTGTTCACTTAACAACTACTGAAAAAAATTGAAAAAAAATCAGTTCCAGTCATGTGATGCCTTGACTTACAACTCCAATAACTTATGACTCTAATTCTGGGCTAAGTTACAGTTGTAAGTTGAGGACTACCTGTATGTTTTATAAATGAGGGCATCCAGAATATATTTCTTGGAAAAACAACAACAATTTCCTATTGTTTGCAATTCATAATTTATTATAAAGTAAAATTTAATAGTCCACATTCATATTAAAATGAACCCTCAGTGAAATTTGTTTCCTTTGAATGTTAAACCATTATAGAAAAACAAAAATAATTTTTATTGAAACTAGTGATTTTGTCCATTTCTTTAGATCAGTTTGAACCTCTTCATTATTCTGAACTCTTAATAGTGACTCCAATATGCAAAAGACAGATAAGGTATCTGTTTGAATATTGATAGTAAACATACACATTCAAATTTTGATGATGTAATTTCCTAGGCAATTCTTTGAAAAGATGTGATTTTGATGAAAAGCATGTATTTGGTGCCTTTCATTTCCCTGAAAAGTATTTCTACAGCCAACAGAAATAATATGAATCATGGAACACAGCATGGAAAAGCACAATTGGCTTTGTGATCTCTTTTCAGACCACTCTAAGAAACAGGATGCTGAACTAAGTATTGTTAGACTTCTCCAATTTAAGGACTTAAAGGTACACTGCCATTATTTTCAGATCAGGAAGGCTGAGACAGGCATTTTATTTGAAAGACATAAGTTCATGCTTTTAAACATTTTAAAATGGTAATAAAGAATCAAAAGGACATTTTTGGCAATTTCCAACAAGTAAACTGGGCATAGAAGAATTACAGCCATAGCACTCAAGACTTAAGAGGCAAATTCTTTTTTTTTTCTCTTTCCTGGAAAACCTAATAGGGAAGACAGCCCAAGTAACCCTTGCTGACTGGGTCATTTAGTTCCCAGAGTGATTCCTATGCCTTTCATTTTATTGCAGGAAGTAAAGTGACAGGAAGGCCAAGAGTGACTCATGTTCTCTTATCTTATCACCAGTGAAGGGAAAATATAACGGAATTGTTCAATTCTCAAGAAAGCATTGGACAAAGGATTCACCAAGAACAAGAGGTTTTCCTTCTTTATTTGTGCTAATCAATCTGCTCACAATTCCATTTAATTTTAAAATAATGTACACGTAGTCCTTGATTTACAACAGTTCATTTAATAACCATTCAAAGTTACAATGGCACTGGAAAAAGTGACTTATGGCCATTTTTCACATTTATGACAGTTGCAGCATCCCTATGGTCACGTGATTTACATTTGGATGCTTGACAACCACCTCACATTTATGATCGTTGCAGTATCCTACGCTTACGTGATCACCACTTGCAACCTTCTGACAAGCACAGTCAATGGGGAAACCACTTAAAAATTGTGTTACTAATTTAACAACTGCAGTGATTCACTTAACATATGTGTCAAGAAAAGTCGTAAAATGGGGCAAAAATTACTTAACAAATTTCTCACTTAGCAACATAAATTTTGGGCTCAGTTGAAGGCTACCTGTATTTTAAAAACTGGGTAAGTGAAGAAAAAGATATGAAGTGTACTGAAAAACAGGCATCTCTTCAGTGTCTTTGATCAAGATAATCCCTACCTTATCCTCCCACCCTTAAGTCTGATTACAATCAGAAGACATTCCTCCTTGGGGATGGAGAAGTAAAACCCAGCAGCTTCAAAGGTCCTGAGGTTCCAGCTATAAGCCACAAAAGTGCACTGAAGCAAATTTCATTCTCATTCCCTTAAGGAAAGATCTATGTTTACTTTGCTTTCCTCAGGCCATGCAGGAAAATATTATGAAGCTGTGGAATGGGAAGTTAAGACTGTGGGAAAGGAAGTGCAATACTCAAAGTATCTCAGTTCAGACAAATGCTTCATAACCTTGTGATAGAGGCTCCAAAATATTTCAGCACATCATATTGCAGCATAGCATGTAATTTAAATGTCTGACTACTTAAGGTGTCATACGACCTTAAAAAAAATAGTTTCTGCAATGCTTCAAACTATTAATTAAAGAACACAGAAGTCCATTTGCCCTTGCCAAGCAACCAGCTGGCACAAAAGACTTCCTATTTAAAGGTAAATATAAATCAAGATATGACTATCTTAATTTACTAAGATTCATGTGAAATTACTCCTGAAAGTCAATAAATAGTTCCTTATTTTTGAAAGAAAGACTTTTGTATCTTGTGTGCTGCTTATCTTTACTAATTGCATATGTCTTATTCTATACTGCTATAATTATAATATTTTCATCATTATAATACCATTGTGTTTTACGTCCCTTCAACTGCAATATGCCAAATCAGCAGGTCCAGTGAAGAATTATTGGAGTTGAAATCCACCAGCAAGAATATAAATTATCCATTCCCATTGTGGGATTATGTTCTTTTAGCAGAAGTGGAACAAATCCAAGATTCAAACACAAAGGCTACTGACAACCTAACATAAATGGATCCTTAAAAAAAAGACAAAATCTTGCAGACAGTGAAGTTATACTAAGGGTTTTTTAAAGTTTCAGAAGTTAACAGGTTTGGGATAAGAAAATAAAATCAAGTACTACTACATAGATGCACACTGATAAGCAGATGGTAAAAAGATGCAGAACTCAAGCCAATGCAAACAGAATCATACACCCAGTTTTCAGCATACTGTTACTAAAGAGGAACGCTTTTGTGCCAAAATTACTTAACTAGATACTAATATGTGGAATCCTAAAAGGCAAAATTTAAGTTCCTACTACATCACTGTGATACTAAAATAAGATAATAGTTTGCTTTCAGGCAAATTTTGTAATACTTCTCAAACTAATCCCTGATGTTGTTCCCATTAAGCTTAATACAGAACAAGCACCTCTCTTTTTCACTCATCTATGCTTTTCTTAATCAGTCCTTTACAATTATCTTTATTATTATCTTTATATTACAAATTCATATAGGCAATAGCTTGGAGAGCTTAAATGGGAACTTACAGCAGATCCTATGAAAATCAATATTGGTTACTTTTTCCGCCAGTCTCTTCATATTAACTTTTCTATTTTTTTATACTATTTACTCTCAAATTTATTCCTGCTAATTCAAATCTCACCACACAATTACCGTTTTCCATTTGGTTCTAGGTATTTAATGGATTGGTTGGGTTGGTGTGATTATGAAATCTGTCCTTATTTAGGGCAATAATGTGAAGTAGTTTCTAGTTAGAGATGTGTGTCTGTTGTGCTGATGACAGTGTGACACCTGTACAAAAATAAGATAATAAGCTAAGATAATAAGCCTGCTTACTTCATTTTTCAACTGGAACCTACACTGAAGTACTTTTTGCTTGAAAACTAATAAGTCTGCATAATAGGAAAAGACAAATCTTTCAATATTTTTTGGGGTATTCCTTTGTGATTCAAGAAAAACCATAACTCAGGAGCAAAATTCATGCTTCCTATACAAAAAGGCTTAGGTCAGTCACCAGAAGATCCGCTTAGTGTAAAAGCCTTTGTCTGAAATCTGGGTCTAAATAATATAGTGAGCTAGAAGAACCAAAAGTCTTTTTGTACACAGCTGTTTCCAATATTCTGCTGTTGCATACCTAGAAAATGAATGTCATAAATACCATTTTTGCTTATACAACCAAACTTGTTTATATAACATTATGCATGTAAAAAACAACACTGCAAAAACCTCCTCAAACTCATAAGCTTTCTTGTTTCAGTATACAGAATTGAAAAGGGCCTTTGTAATTTCCCTCATCAACAGACCTACAAAAACAATAATACATTGAGAAAGAATCCCCAAACCATGGCCTATTTATATTTTTATTTGGATCACCAAAACTTAAGGATTGTAAATTTAATTGTAAAATCCATGGGTAGGAAAAAGCAGGAAGGTTTCTCCTCCCTCCCTTCAATTCAGTCAGTTTTTGCAACATTATTGTTAGAATTATGGATTGATCAATGTCTAGCTTGAAAACTGCTACCCAGTGCATTAAGACACCTAATAACAAGAAATCACACTAGTTATTAATTTTTATCCAACCAAAAC